CCCATCCCTAGCCGCAATGTTCAGGTGTGTGGTAGTAACATTCAGATAACCATGTTTTCCCAGCAGGACCTTACACTGGAATGAGTAGAGGTGTGGGAATATCAGGTTTCTGCAACTGTCTTCCACCCAACAGCTTTGCATCTCCTGCCAAAGACAGAGAGGAGGGGGAGAAGCCATCTGTTGAGGGCTAGTTGAAGGTGGTGTCCCAACATCTGATAAGTACTGCATCAGTTATCCAAATCATTTCTCTCTCACATCCCTAATCTGAGATAATTTAGCACTAACCAGAGTGCAGAAACTGCATTTATGAGATGTGGGATGTCCAGTGATTTTGCCATTAAGAGTTCTTAATTCCAGTTAATAGAGTTTAATATTTTCCTCAGTCCTTCCCACTGTTTTCTTTTTGTGTCTTTTCCTGTATCAAGTTTGTTTTTGCGTCTGAGTTTCCCGAGTTACTGTTACCTTCTTCCTGTTTTACTTTGATAGTTAGTTGCCGTCTGTGTCTTGTATCCAGTTTTACTTCCTCCCTGTGGTTTTATTGATTGTGCACCTGTGTCTCATTTCCTCCCAGCTGTGTCTAATTCTTTTGATTAGCCCTCAGTGTGGGAGTATAAATGGTGTTGTCTTCCCTTTGTCTTTTGTTACAGCAACTGTTTGTGTTCTTTCTCTGTTTCCTTGTGTAACTTCTGTTGGATTTCTTTGGCTTTATAGACTTACTCTTGGACTTGGACACACATATCTGCTTGCCAGTGCTGAGTAATGAATTAATAAACACACGCAAAGAGTCGAGAGGTGCAGTTCAGTGACTCAGAGTAGCGGATGAGGCCTAGCAGACAGCGATGGGTTACAACTACCTGCATGTGGACACCTGCTAAACGGGCCAGATCTCTAAATACAGTTTGGATAATGTACTTTGGGGTCTGTATCATTTTCATAAAGGAATGAACCTTCCACAGAGGTGAAATGTGTATCTTGCAGCAGGCTCTAAACACGTTTGTTCTGCTGTAAGTTTGGACACGTTAGCATGAGACTCATTTTTGGAGCCTCCAATGGCCGTTGGAGGAACTGCACATTTGGCAGCACTAGCTTCACTTTCAGCCCTGGAGGTTGCTGCTTGGTCTGAACTAATTTTAGCTGTTAAGCTTTACTGTTGTACTCTGAGCACCGACTACCAAGTGTGTCTACATTTTGTGATTGAGTCACTGCGCTTTTGTTCTCCGATTAAAAAATAAATCTGATATTATAGCAGGCCTGATCTGTAAAGACTGAAGTTTGGAGGAATTAAAAAAAATAATTAAAGCTTAGTTTGGAGTTGATTGCTTCTGTAACACAATTGTCATCAAACTGAAACTCTTTCCAGAGGAACAAATCTAATCTCGACAATCACACAATCAGATCGTTTCACATCTTTTTTCTTCATTTAGGAAACAAATCAAATTTTATAAGTAAAGACAACTGAACAAAACTGGGACAAAAGAGAATCTTATGACTGGAAAAAGGGTCGGCTGTTATTGCCCACTGCCCCCAGCTGAACACTGGTTTTACTGGGCAGCTCCCAGTTGTGATTGTGTGTATTTATTTGCATGTCGAGTTCACATTTTCACCAAACGGCTGGACCGAATAAGTCACGCTGAAATGTGGGACAGATGTTGTTGCACCATCACTGTAACACAGTTACTGTACAGTAAATCCCAGCAGGTATTGCAGCAGATGACCAGCAGTGCTCAGCCTGGTAAGATACAGCGTCTCTTTGCCCCACATACAAACTCCCACCACCTCCCCCTTTACTGCATATTGTGTTTGCAGAAGGCTTCACATAATTTAAAGTGACAAGCCCCTGTCTCGACATTCCCTCCGTCTCTCCTGATCCCCCCACCCCCACTGCCTCTGTTTTATAACCTTCTTTTCTTTCCTGCCATGGATACACACCGGTATGTTGCTGAAGAATTACATCTGTGACCACCTCGGACGCTTTTCTTTCAGACAGTACAGCTACAAATATTTCTGTTGCCAGGCTGAATCCACAGACTGGCAACATTTCGGATTCACAGGCGCGAATGCAGACGAGTCATGGTGATGCACACCCCGACCCCGACCATTTCCAGAACCGTGGAACTTTGAACACCATGGGAACTTTCTGAGTGGTGTTTACTCAGCATGGCACTATCATTATGCAGCTTTAGATGGATTTCTAATAAAATAAGCATAAATTATACATGCAAGGGCATCTGTAGCTTCAAGCTGTATGACAGTTTCTTAACTTTGAGTTTATAAAGTCAAAAGTCTTGCTTTAGTGCATCTGTGCTGCTCGGCAGGTCAATAAGAGGACCCGACGGGACAGATCAATAATGCACAGAGGCTCCGGCCGTCGAACGCTACACTACAGGGCCTGTAATTTATAGTTTGTTTGTAGTCCACCGCCGGTACATTATGTGCCTGTGTGTCTCGATGCATCACTCCCACTCCCATTAGCTGCAGAATAAAGTCAGGGGATGTGGCTGAAAACTCAACAGATAACCTCTGATCAGATTGAAGCTCTGTATTTGATTCAAATACCACGGGGTCAGCGTCCTTGCTGTGTTTTATCAGATCCTCCTGCAGTGCTGCTGCTGTTTACTTTCTTCCTCTCTCTCTCTCTCTTTAGAGGGTTTAAACACTTTCATCATGCACAGCACAGAGCTGCTATCCCTTAAAAGTGGAAACAAGCACCAAAATCTGAGAGTTTACCCTGATGCCATTCATTAGAAAAATCCCATCAGCAGCTTGAATTTTCTTGAATTGTCAAAATAACCATCGAGCAGCTATTTTACTGCAGAATTTTGACATTTCTGAAGTTTCACTGATGATCTCTCTATTTCTGACCATGACTAAGTCAAATTTATTCCCCAGAGCTTCCTTTACTTATTTCTTTTAATGTAAATCATCACAAACCTGCAATGGATCCATCCTGGGGATGAACCTCCCACCTCAACCCTTCATCATCAGCTGCTCTTTGTTATGCAGTATGGCCCTCGAAGAACAGCAGCTATCTAAGCGAAGCCTTTCAGTTGAAGAATTTTGCCAACAAGTGGATTCTTTTATTGATTAACTTCACTTTTATAACTGAAACCTGACTGTCAGTGCTGTGCTCTCTGTTAAGGTGGCAGAGCAGATATATTCCCTCAATCCTCTTTCATGTGATTGATGATTTTCTTTGGCACAAAAAAAGGCCAAGACCTCAAAGCCAAAAGCTAAAAATGAAATACTCTGACAGGGTTTGCAGTAAAGGTTGAAATTAGAAACAATTTCCACAAATGAACCTCTTTATTTATATACTGTGCAGGAGAGTGAAATATTTCTGCTTCATCCTCTTACCAAACATTTCAAAACATGTGGTCCGGGTCATAAACTCAATGAGCACATTAGTAAGTCAGGTGTATCCTGTTCCTTATCCTCTCCCTGCACATTATTTTCCTTTCTGTGTCTCCTTATAACTTGTGCATAAATAATGAAACTAAGCCTGTTCACTCATGCAAACAGTGCGCCGACTGTAACGGATCACCTCCACGAGGCCAGCCGTGCTTTATGCGTCAGCGGTCACAAGGGGGCACTAAACTGTTCCCCATGCACGGAGACTTCATTCCCATTCATGTCACTGTTTCCTTGACAGACTTTGACACGTGTGTGAGGCAGCACTGCTGTCATGTGATAGCGAGAGATTTTGCTGTTCGACAGTTTTTTCTTTCGCCTCTGGGTTCCTGGGATAGTTGCAGTTGTTGGAATAGACAGATGTTCCCACTGTTTTCACACGGGGTATTTTGCCTGAGGTGTGTTTGTGTAACAGAACGACAGCAGTGTGTGTGTGTGTGTGTGTGTGTGTGTGTGTGTGTGTATAGGGGGAGAGAACAGAGTGTTTTGTTGTGTACTGTGCAGGTTGCTGAAGGACAAAGTGAGTTTTTATGGCTGTTACTGCAGTATCATCGTTGGCCCTCACATTAACACTCACTGCTGACAAGCCTCAAGGTCCAAACTATTAACTACAGCATGTTTAGACAGTTGGATCAGTGATATCAGAGATAACCACCTCATTCACTCACAGCCCAATGAGCAGATTAAAGCACATCTGCCTGTCCATTCTTTTACCAGCTGACTATAAACAGCATGTACAGTACATGCTACTGGAGTCTTATAATGCTCATGGAATGAAAGCTCGAATGGTGGAATAACAAATTACATTTATTACATTTAATTTTTATTACATTAAAATCAAAAATCTCTTTCATAAGAGTGTACTTTCCAAGAATCATGAGCAATAACAATTAAACACAGAAATGGCCTTAAATTTGTGGAGTTCTTACTGATCTGCTGTTTGGGACAGATGGAAAGAATCTTAAGACCTAAAACAATAACTTCCCACACATTTTTGATGAATGCAATTCAGTAAGCGAGACAAGAATAACCTTATGAATGATAACATACAGGTGGTTGCGTGCAACACATGACACATATTGACTGCTATTTTGTTGCTAAATCTTTTGCATTGTTTTTAAGCAGCTATTAACCTCCGAGTTCAAATATCTGTTCGGGTGTAAAGGGATGAATCCGTGCCAGTTCATCCGATGGCTCCCACCTGACCATCACAGACTTGGTTGGGAAAGATGGCCAGAATAAAACAAAGATTCAGGCTCCTGTTGTCATTCCCCCCAAAATGTTAAAATCCCATTAGCTTTAATTATCAACTAATCAAGAACTAATGATTTTTTAGGTAAATCTGTGATGGTCAGGTGGGAAATGTTTTAAAATGTTGATGAACTGAGATGGAATGACTCCAATTTCAAGTGAGTTTCTCTCTCGTGCAGCTGCTTTTCCTGTGGTATCGTGTGTACTGGTGCACATGAGCCTGAAAATCATGCCACTGTTTTCAGATTTCATCGTAAGACATGATCTTGTTACCAAAGACATTTTTCACTGTCTCACCATTCACTCTTTAAATTCCCCTCCCTTCCATCTTCTGGCTGCAGGTCGAGAGAAGAGAAAGGGTCCCATGATCTCTGCCGGCGATGCCGAGTTCCCCCGGGATTACCACACCCTGGCTGCCACTGGTGGCCGCGGGGCCCGACGGTTCCCCGACAACAGCAACGGGGGCTTCACGTCGTCCTCGCTGGACCGCCGGCACAACTCTGTGGCCGCCAAGAGCCTGGAGGCCCTGAACAGCATCCACAAGGCTGACATAGAGCGTCAGCGAGACGCCATCATGGACCTCCAGAAAAACAAGTTCTCCAACAGCCCCAGCAGCATGTCACAGGGCTCCCCCGCTGCGGGCCGACAGGTACTTTCACACTTTCTGCTCTGACGTGAACAAACCAAAAAGAAACAATGAGCGGACGAATACTTCCCTTTGTGACATGAGTAATTATAACTGCAGCAGTGGTGGTCTTGGCACTTTAATCCTTGTTAATTCTACTTATAATGAGCTAAATCTCTCGCATTCACTCCCAATTTCCATAAAAATAGAAGGTGGGATTATTTTCCTGTTTCCATCAATCCTCCTGAGGACGATTGGTGCAGGATACACCACCTTCATCGTGACTCATACTGTTTATCTTAGCAGGCGGAAAGAAGTTTCTAATCAGTCGGCTGCAGTTTATGTGGTTTCTTTTATAGTTTGTCAGGAAATCGAGCGAACAGTCCTGCGAGAATACCTACAGAAGGCAGCGTGCATACGCAAAATGATGAAGGGAACTCAAATGGCAGGTTTTTTAAGTCACAGTAGACACTTTGCTTTCACTGTGAGCTTCTGTCTTGTCACTGATGACAACAGCTGAGGTTATTGGAGTTAACTAAAATGAAAATAAACCAGGCGTGAAAAAAAACACATTATAAGAATAAAAACTAGAATTCTGAAATCAACAAAAACCACCTGAAACCAGATTTTACTGCCCTGTCACTTTAATAAAAGTCATTTATCAATCCAACTCAATTCAACAACTTAAACATGACTCCATTTTTTTTTACTCCGACCATCCAATCTACCAATCGTTTTTACTCAGAGATCGTGTGTTTAAATTCAGAAGACAGAAATTCGATATTTATTTTTACCTTCTCCTGTATAAAACTATACAAAGGGTCAGTTAAGGTTTGCTCTGCTGCCTTGGTGGGGGACTAATTAAATCGACACCGTATACTTCACCTAGTATGCTCAAACCCACCTCCTCCGGCTCCTTTCGATTTTGTGTAGCAGCTCTACTCCGAGCCTCTCCTGAAGGAGCTGCTCACCCTGTCTCTAAGGGAGAGCCCAGACAGCCTTTGGAGGAAGCTCATTTCTGCCACGATCCTACTCTTTTGGCACGCACAGCTTGTGGCCATAGACGAGGGCAGGAACATGGCTGTTTGTGTTTCACAACTTCCTCTCATTACCACAGCAGACTGATACAGCATCCACACCACTGCAGAAGCTGTGCAAATACATCTGTCAGTGTCCCGCTCCACTCACTTCTCACTTGTAAACCAGAGATACTCCAGGCAGGAGAGGGCAATCCAGCCCTTTCCAGTGGAGAATCAAGCTCAGACTCAGAGGGGCTAATTCTCTTTCCATGTGCTTCACACTTGGCTGCTCCAAATCGCCCCAGCGCAAGCTAGAGGTCACGTTTGACGAAGTCAGGAGGCAAGGATCGTCTGCAAAAAGAAAAGAGGATGATATCCTCTGCCTCTGCTCCCAGCAAATGTGTTCGGTATCGCTGACAGGGCAGCATGTCACAATTCAAATCATAAATATATCCATACATATCCATATCATATGAAAGGAAATATATAAGACATTGGAATAAAATTAGTTTGACAGTGACTTTCATCCATGTAGCCAGCTCCTACGCGAACAGATCAGAAAAAGTAAATGAATTCAGTACAAAAAGCAAAATAATTGGTGGTCATAGGGAACAAAAATACACCATCTGTTAAAGTTATTGATGGTTTTCTGGTCCTGTGCAACATTTTAATTGGTCAACAGATTTCTAGGATTGAACTAGGACTGATTCAGTGGTTTTAGAACCTCCCAGTAAGGACTTGTTTCCTTATGAAGTCCTAATTTGATCAATAAAAGCTCATATCGTGTATGGATTATGACACAGAGCCACATCCACAGTTTTATACAAATCTAGAGGGGGGTGCATCCTCGGGGGAGGTAAGAGTGCTCTCCGAGGGCTGTCGGCTTCTACATGTGAACATTTTCTTCCTGAGAGATAATAGCAGCACATCAGCGGGCCTGCAAACCCAAACAAGAGCATTATGTGGCGAGACGCCTCTGGGGCTTTAGACACACGGATGCAGTGGAGGCATGTTTACGACCTGCTCGCTGGGCCAGAAATGGCCACCTTCTCAGCGGTTATTACCTGAAAAACGTCAGCAATAGAATATGGAGAAAAGAATTGAAGTGAGACAGCGAGCGAATGTCAAAATGTGAGACACCTCCCTTCATCAAATCTCCTCCCTCCCTTTGCTCTGTCTTTTTTTTTCTTTGCTTCATATTCTCAGCTTCACTCTGCCATCCATCAACGCATGCTCTCATTTGATACCTGTGACAGATGGTCTGCTGCAGCTCTTCTCTGTTCGGCTTTAGGGAATAACATTCAGCCATAGGGGCTTATTTTCAGTCTTTCTCAGAAGGAGATGATGTCATATCTAAATCAGAATCAGAATCAGAATACTTTATTGATCCCTGGGGGAAATTATTTTTTGTTACAGTGCTCCATTTTAAACCAACATTAAGACAAGACAGACAAAATGCAGGGCTGGAGCAAACAGCACCTGCCGGGGCTACAAAAGTAAAGAAAAACCGCCGTTCCTCTAATGGCCACTTGAGTCTGGTTTCAAAAACGAGTCAATCCCGACAGACTTAAAATGTTAAAATGTACAACTTTACAGTGGAAATAGACATTTTCAAAACCCAGTGTGTCATGTCACGTTGCTATGTCCATTTTTCATAGTCTGTAGGGTCATTTGTGTCATGAATAGATTCATTTATCAGTTTTCTGATTTTTACCCCTGGTGGCTGGAACATGTACACTATCTATAGAGACCAAACATACTTTTAGGGATGTAAAGTTGAAAATTTTAACTTGGGGTTTATTTTGGTTTTCCAGAAAACCTCTGCTGGCCATTAGAGGAACTACAGTTTATTTCACTTCCATCTTGACTTTTTTTGCATTTATCTTTATTAGCACTCAAGGTTTCTCTAAGTTATAAAAGCAATAGATCCAATAAATTTAGTCCTTTGTCAGGACACATCGTCATGTAAACTTTAAAAAGATCCTTCTGTACTCAATCCTGGTGCCAACCAGTGTGATGCTGTACCTTATTAGTGAAGGAAGAAGCCTGAATGACTAATACGAATGGTCAGCTGAGCTGACCTGGATCTGTTGCCTGAGAGAAAGTCAGAGGGACTAAAATGTCTCTGGGTTTCATGAGAGGCTTTTCCAGGGTCACAGAACTGGACTTGGCCTAACTTTGGTTTTCTGTGCAGGAGAAATGAGGGCAAATCCAGGTAGGGTGCAAGCATGCCATCCAACTCACTGCAAGCCGAGTCGCTCTGACCGGCTGTTGTTTAAAGAAAGCTCCAACATATAAAGGAGGGCCAGAATCCAAAGTGCTTGTTGAACCCCCAAGTTAAGGTCAGGCTGTCCTCATTCTTATGGGGAAAAAATGTGCAGATTTGTCAAAGGCTCTAGTGTGTCCTAGTTATACAGAAGACATTCCTGCACCGAGTTCTGGAATTACTGAGATAGTGCTGTCAGTTTCAACACATTATTTTTCTGCAGCAAACGGGTGCATTTTACCCCAAACAGGATTATTATATAGGCCAAAGTCTGCATTTGGAGCTTTGCAGGCTGGTGGTGACATCAGTTGCAGGTTTGTCTGTTAGGTTCCCATCCCATCAGAACATTTACTTTCCACGTTGTTTGGCATTTCTTTCACTTGCCAATTTTAGTTTTTCTTTCACTTCTTTTTAGTGCTTTAGAGACTAAAACTCGGTTAGAATTGGAAAAACATTGTGGTTTTTATAAAAACCTTCAGGAGAGAAATGAAAGAAAAGACAAAAATCCCTTCACAACAATATCCCTCCTTATTAATAAATGATGGTTTGGGAATGACGATCCCACCTACCAACACTATAACCCAGTTTGTGAATGAGCCACGCCGGCGGTTGTAACAAAACAGCAAAGACCAACCTGGTTGTTGACCATCAAACATCTTTACATAGGCTTCCTTTGTCTCTGAACTTGGACTGTTATCGCTCTGCATCCAGTGTTCCCATTGGATGAAGGCACTTGGTATATAACGGCGTGATGAAAGCTGGATCTGACCATAAAACATCCTCATCTGATTACAAAAAAATGGCTAACAACTTGATATTCACAAGTTGTTGGACAATAAGCGCCGCCTGCTTTAGTGTTTTATTCAAGAAGATATGAAAGTAGTGATTGAGCCCATAAACAAAAGTGTTTCCTGAGGTCAAAGATTCATAGATTTCCCATAGACTTCTATAAAGTCTGATCACTTTTTGCAACCGGACCGATAACCGCCCTGCTAGCCATGAGAAAGAATGTGTTATTAACTCATTCACTGCCAGCCATTGGCAGTGAATGAGTTAAACCCATTGACTCATGCACTGCAATTGACGGCTATAGACGTCAATGGCAGTGAATGAGTTAAGGTAATTCTGGATGGGCTTGACTTTTGAGACTCAGAAGCAATGTTCCCTCTAATTTTTCACGTGTCTGAGCGAACACACAAACTCCCTGAGCGTCCCTTGGACCACTGTGAGCAACAGCAGACGTGTGCACTGTGGTCACGCCAGCATCCAATCCATCCAAGATACATGGTTTATTAAAATAATCAAATTACAGCATTTATGTTAGACTATTTTTAATTAACTGCTTTAGCCCACTTACAATGAAAAGGTAAAAAAAAACTTGTTCATGACCTGTGTAGCATGTTAACACCATTGGAAGTAAAAATAACTTGAACTCCAATTTTGAAAACACAACTTTCTTTTTTTTTTATTTTTAATTTTTTTATAAAGCTCTGACTTGTATTATGAGTCTGTGGTCTGGGAGAGAGTCTGTAACTCTGCAAAATACAGTATATATTGACCAATGTTGGGCAATTAATTATATAGTTACTTCTTCAAAAAAGTAACTGATTTATGCAAACAACATTTTTTGCAGCTGTTTACCTAAAAATGCAGCCAAGGCGTTTTTTTTAAAATAAACATTTCAAACTATTTACAGAACAATCAGCTGTTCTGCATCAAATTATTTGTGCCACTCCTAA